GGAGGAGTTGGAGAAATGCTTTGTACCATCCTTAGAACCATGTGTGTGTAGGAGAAATGAGTGAGGGTTCAGAGTATGAACTTTAAGGAGGTCACACTCACTCTCAGGATGGGGCAAGTGCAAAGTGACCACCTTCAATTGTGCCCTTTGAAGGGCCCCTGCCTTGGATGGCAGAGGGGAGCACCTGGTCAGTGTGAATGTTTACTTTAGGCCACCTCCCCTGGTCTACCTTCTGAGGGGAAAGTCCAGCATTCCCCGGAGTCTGCAGGCTGGGCACAGTGTTGGGACACAGTGATTCACTGCCTTTACCAACAGCTGGACTGGTACTCTCGGGGTCCTTGCAGGCTGGGCACAGTGATGGGGCGCATAGATTCACGCCTCACGCAGCTGGACAAATGAGGTACCAATGATCTACTTCCTCTTTACACATGAGGCACAAGTGGTTGGGTTTCTTGTCCCAGGGTACAGAGCCAGCAAGAGGTGGTGAAGCTCGAGGCTGAGGACTATGCCCACCGGTGTCATGGTAGGGACACTGAGCCTCAGTTTCCCTATCCCAAGAGGTGGCTTCAGAACATTCAGTGTCATCCTTTCAGAGCCGGGCATCCACCAACAGAATTGCAAGGGAGGGTGGATTGTTCTAGAAATTGCCTGGTGTTTACTTAGCACTGGGACGGTGTGTCGGGTTTGTACCTGTTACTGCTGAGCTGTGTTTGTTCCAAGTTGTTTGGGGGGTGCATTCAGCCCTTTGAGGAAGACAGGGGGGGCACCCTCTCCCTTCATCTGCACTCCTCCACTCCCCAGGGGCCCAGCCCGGGTCTTGCATGGGGGACGGGGTTGGCTCTGGACTCCTTTGGGAGATGGCCCCTCTTTCCCTCCTGACTCTGACAGCTGCTTTGACCTCATTAAAGAAACATCAGAGCTGAAATGGATCTCATAGACCATTCTCATTTACAAATGCAGAAATGGAGGCCCCTAGAGGGGAGAGGCCTGCCCAGGCTCCTCAGGAAATCAGAGCCTCATTTGGACTGAAATCCAGGTTTTCGTAACTGCTCAGGCACATAAAGGACCCAGGAGCTCTCTGCAGACAGGAGGGATTTCCACCTACCATACGGGTTGGGGCATGATGGCATCCATTCTGGTGGGGACATGCATCTCTCTGCCAGGCAACTTGGACGTGGACTGTCAGAGTCATGGGGTGGCCCTCTGATCTATTTGAACGTTGACCCCAACAATATTCATCATCTTCCCCTCTCCATCACCCCATTTTCACTTTCTTCTTCTTGCCCTCAAGCAACAGCCTGGTGAGGGGACTGCTTTGGAAACCGGTGGTCACGGATTCAAATCCTGCTCTGATCCCTTGTCATCGTATGACTTTGTCTGGGCCTCGGTTTCCTCAGCTGTAACATGGGAATGGGGGTCCTGTTCTGTAAGCTGTGATGAGGTCCATGTGTGTACTACCTGGAACCCTGACACGCAGGAGTGAGCGCTGACCTGGTTGAAGGTTGGTAGGTCTCACCTTTACCTGGACCCAGAACCCCTGGGAGGCAGATGGGGAGGGAGCTAAGCAGTGGATGCTTCAGCTTCACAATGAAACAGAGGCTCTCGGATGAGACGGGTTTGCTGGACAAGGGAGGGGACCAGGGTAACGGCCTCCAGGCTCAGGGGGTACTGCTTCCTCCTTCAACCCATCTGGCCCAGGGAGGCTTTGGAGATCGGCCTTGGTTTGTTAGGGTGGGATTATTTCTCACTGACCAGCTGGCCATTCCAGGGCTCCCCTCATTCCCCCATAGACTGCAAATAGTGGTGTGTGATTTCTCCTGGGAGGAAGGAAGTGCCTCCCAGACATGGGAAGCCTCAGAAGTTATCCTCAAGAAAGGGTTCATCTGGGTCTCCCCAACTCCATCCATCCTTCAGGCATTCTTTGTCCTTTCCCGGGGACCTGCAGCCACATTTGCACAAGTTAGTGCCGGCATTATGTACAAAGGTGAATCGAAAATTATCTGCCCTCTGGCTGTAGAATTTATTTTAATCAACTTTTAAGAAAGACAAATACATCATTTTTTGACATAATCTCGTTGCTTTTCAAGACACTTTGTCCATCTATCGACAAGCTTTCGTATTCACTTATTAGAAAATGTTTTAGGCTGAGCTGTGAGCCACCAGTGCACGCTGTCTTTTCTTCTTCATCAGAGGTGACTCTTTGTCTTTGAAGGGCCTCTTTCAGGGACGCTCTAACACCTCAAAATGAAGTTTTTGTATAGTGTCAATGGTGTGGACAGAGGTATGTGGACGTGCATTGGCATGCAAGATCACAACACCCTTGGATAGCAGTCCTCTGTATTTAATCTGAAGTTTAAGCTTCAGCTCTTCAGTCAGCATCTCACTGTAATAAGCACTGTTGATTGGTGAACCTTTCTCTGATAGTGTTCCAGTACTGGCCCTTGAGAATCCCAGAAACACTAAACATCAATTTTCCAGCTGATGGTTGACATTTGAACTTTCTCTTTGTTGGCGATTGAGGATGTTTCTATTCCATACTCTGCCATTTACTCTCAGGCTTGTAGTGATGAATCTATGTCTCATCGTGATTTTTTTTTTTTTAAAGAAACTTACTTTCCTTCAAGTATTGTTCCACATTTTGTTTGAAGATGTCCAAACCCTTCTGTTTTTTATCTTCTGTGAGTTGTTTCAGTTCCCATCTCACACAAACTTTTCAAAACCCAAGTCTGTCGTGGATAATTTCATAGGCAGAGCCATGGCTGATTTGTAAATGATTTACCACATAATCCACTGTCAACTCGCCTATTTGACAGAATCGTTTCCTGTGTATGCTCAATGTTGTCATCAATTGTGGATGTGGACAGGTGTTTTATATATCTGGAGTGCAGTTAATTTTTGACTCACCCTCATATAATACAGTGAGAACATGGTAATAAAGGTGGTTAAGGTCATGTCCAGCGGCCTCCTGGAGCTCAGGGTGCCACGTGCAGGCTCCGGCAGTGTGACTTGGAAAGGCAAAGCTGTGAGAAGGGTGGGGGTCCCACTGTGAGTGGAAGCTTAGGGGTGAGTGGGTGCAGGACAGCACAGCGGGGGAGGGAAGGGTGCCCAGCTTGCTGCTCTGCACTTGGCCAGGACAGCACTTGCCCAGGGCCATTTCATATTGTGATCGCTCCCAGACAGAATGGGAGAACAACATAGATAAAGACATAGATTTGTACAAAAGTCCTGAATAATTAAGAACTCTCCAAGACCATGGCCCTGAGATACTCTTTAAACCTCCATCCAAAATGATTCTGAGATCACCTTTTAGCAAAACAGCATAGTGGCTCACAAAACAAAGAATATCACGCAGAAGAGAGATGCTCTTCTAAAAACCAACCCGTTTACATGAGACCAAAAGGTCAAGATGTACTCTAAAACAAAGATGAGAAGAGAAGGGGGCAGGGCGACTAGAATGCTGGAAAAAGAACAACCAGAACACAATGAAGGAGACTGTTGACCTATTGTAAAAAATGTAACTAATGTCACCAAACAATTTCTGTGAAAATGGTCAAATGGGAACCTAACTTACTAGTAAATGTTCATCCAAAACACAATAAAACCATTATTTAAAATACATGTAATTTTTCCTCATGACAAGAACTCCACAGTTGCGGGCAAGTGTGTTGCTGGCATTGGTTGTTATTCGTATTATTTTTGTTATGTTATTCGTATTATTTTTGTAGAAGTTTAGAGTATTAGATTAACCTCGCTGTACAGGCAGAAATCTGACTTGGAGGAGCCCACCGAGACCGTTCCCCGGGCCCACCAGGCTCCATGATGGCTAAAAGCAGCTCTGTGGAATCCTGTTTGCGATCCCGCTGACAAGCATCTGACATTCGTCATTTTCACTCAGGGCCCTTCCGCTCCTTGGAGTGCGGCGAGCTGCTTTTGGAGCTGATTTATGGGGACAATCCGTCCTCTACTTTTGATTATGGTAGTTTTCCATAATTATTATAAATACTCTCTGTCTCACTTGAGATTTTCTTTGAGATCTTTCTCCCTGACTTCACTTAGAAGTAGCCAACTCCCACGTGGGCTAAAGCAGAGGGGAGTTTGTAAGTTCTGGAAGAGGGGGCCCTTTTGTTTGGAAATTCCAGGGCTCAGTAGGCTGTCCACACTCTTGTGCCCACCATGAAATCCTAGATGCCCCCACCACAAAAGAACCCCAGAACAGGACTGCTGAAAGTGAGCCTCATATCTGGACACAGCAGATATTTTAGGATGGGAGCAAAAAGGGGACATTTGAGTCATGGGGGTATTGATGGGTAGCTAGGACTCTGGTTCCTGAGACACCTTTGGAGTCTCTGATGCTGTCTGTCCCTTCTTCTTCCATCTGAGGGGTCCTGGTGGGGTTTGGAGAGAGGCTGTTGGCCCCGAGGACTAGGTGAAAGATCACTGCTTTACCTCTGACCCTGGCCTCTCTGGGGACCTCAATTTGTCACGGTCCCTCTCTTAGAAGGAGGATGCCAGCACAAGGCATCTCCAGGGTCCTCTGAAGACAGAGACCATCATAGTGTTACTGTCCTAGGGCTGAGTCCATTGAAGGAAGAAAAGTTGAGGACCTAGAGGCCCCAGGAAGTCTCCTTGTGGTGACTCAAGCTGGCTGTTAGGAAGACCCCAAGTGAGTGTAGTGTGGCCCCCATGGGATGTCACTGAAACAGGTGGGGTCCCTTTTAAGTCATGAAGTGGCTGGTCCCATTTAAAGAATGTGGAGTCCAATCCAGGCCATGTGCGTGTCACTAATTGCCGGTGACCATGGAGAGCTCCCACTGCCTCTGGGGCCTTGGGTTTGGCAGCTGTAAATGAGGGCGCTGGTCCAGGCAAGTGAAAAGGCCCACCCTTAGCATCACATGAACAGAGCTGCTCACGGCTGGAGTCTGGTGTGGTTGAGTGTGTGACCAATAGATGTAAGTCTGCAAACCAGCTTGTCTGCCCACCACGAGTGCCCCGGTACTCACAGGCCACCTGGACCTCGGTTTGCCGCTGCAGCAGAGCGCCCATTCGGTTCCTCACGACACAGCGATAGAAACCGGCGTGGGTGCGGTCCAGGCTGGTGATCATGTACCTGGGGGCAGAAGAGACAGTGAGCATACAGCAGCTACAGGGATGCAGGAGGTCAGAGGTCACTTTGCCACCTCCAGAAAGAAGAGTGCCAGAAAGCTTTCTGTGAGAGGCTCTGGAAGGGGAGGCACCGTGTCTGAGCCTTTGACACTCGCAGCCACCAGGTCTCCCCAAACTGTGCCAGGATTACTGGATGATGCTGTCCTCCCTACCTGGGACTCATACTACTGGGGGACATGTTATTAGTATTATTTTAGAACTAGGCACAGAATTGGTTTGGAAATATTAATTGAGACTGATGGAGGTGACAGAGACAGAGATATTAATGTATTTTACAAAATGCTCTGTACCAGTCCCTCCTTAAAATCACTTATGGTTCTGCCAGCGAACAGGTAGAGTCTGTGGAGAAGACATGCTGGGTTTCTGTGGGCACTGGCTGGGCTCCCAGACCAGGAAGCAGGACTCAAAGCAGTCCTTTGGAAACCTGCTTCTGGAATATGCACCTGTTGTCCCAAAGAGTTGGGGGCGTGGTGGGGAACAAGCTGGAAAGCAGGCATGGAGGCAGGGTCAGGGGGAGGAGTGCCTGGCAGCGAGACCCTGTGAATGGTGCTCTTTGTTGATGTTGTTGAGTGCCATCAAGTCCATTCTGACTCATAGTGACCCCAAGGGACAGAGTAGACCTGCCTTAGGAGTTCCTAGGCTGATACCTTTATGGAATGAAGTGTCAGGCCTTGCTCCAAAGAGAGGCCGCTGACCCTTCTGTTAACAGCCCATCACTCAACTGTTTATGTTGCTAAGGCTCCTGTGAATGGTGATCTTTGGCCAAGAGTAGGATGGGAACCAGGGGATAGTCCCCCTGACACACCTATGTAATCATCTTTCCCATACCTGGGCATTGGACCAGCAGGGCTGTGGGTGGCCTACGTGTGCCACCATGGGGTAGAACCACCTAATTCCCAGGATGTGCCAGGTTAATTTTATATCAGTTTTGGCCAGGGAGCTGTACTACCACCACCACCATCATCATCATTGTCATCAACACCACTATCACCAGCACCATCATCATAATCATCACCATCATCATCACCGTCACCATTACCACCACCACCACCATCACCACCACCATAATCACCATCACCACCACCACCATAATCATCACCATCATGATAATCATCACCACCATCATCATCATCATCACCACCATCACCACCATAATCATCACCATTCTCATTACCACCACCACCACCATAATCATCACCATCATGATAATCATTACCACCATCATCATCATCATCA